TGAAAAGGACATTTGAATACTGAGGGTCGGGTAGAAATACTGCTAGATACGTTTAGCAAGGTCATCGCCAATGTCTGAATATGGATTTTTCCACGGAATGGATTCATTTCCACCCATTTGCTCAAACAAGGCTCTACACAGTGTCATGCGATAGAGATGAAGAAAATATGGCCAAATTAAAACGGCTACTTATTTCTGTCTGTCTAGAGTCTGCAAACCTCTGGCGAACAAACATTTAAGTGATACGGCTTCGGAATCACAACCATACTCAGCGATTGCTCTGATGCTTCTGCTTTACGCAGCAGCTCCAAACCATCAGGGAGGCATATTATCTCAAGTTCACCAACACACCACCGCCGTTCTTAGACCGAATAAAATAACTCCGTGATCAGCAACCGGCAGCAAGGCAGCTCAGACGTATCTCTGCCTATAGATCATGAAGTCAGCAGACCAGCTGTTCAGTTTGACGCACAAGAAAATCCTTATCTATATAACGAGGTATTTGGCATCTTGCTTCTGCAGGTCGAAGCTCATAAAAAAGAACGATTACGTAGCAATTAAATCACAAAGCCCTAGCGGCAGTGTTTCTCAGCATTCATTTCGACTGTGAGAGATTAAGCGGACATCCAAAGATGAGAGACTCCTCTTGCAACTGTTGGATCTTCTGTTGATATGTCATCTTGTTTTGTGCAAAGACGGTGTCGCCCTTCGTAAACAACTAGTAATTATTTAATCTCCATTAATTTGATGCCGTCGCACCAGCTTAGAGGATTGAGCAACTGTAACTTCAAGGCCATGGTGTACGAGATCGACGGTTGAAAGTCCTGTACAAAAATTAGCTTGCTCCGGATTTGTGACTTTGTAGAGTTCTTCCAAATACTCTTCAGAATGATGCTTGAGAATAATTTGTAGATTTGCGACAGGAGCGTAGTTTGCGAATAGTTTTTGAGGTCTTTGGATTCGCCTCATTCAAGAAAATAATTGTTCTTCATATCTTCCACGCTTCACATGTTTTGTTGTGCCTCATATATTTCGCAAAACATTTGGCAACCGTTTTAAACCGATGTTCCTCATGTGTGTTTATTGCAATCATCAGTTTGGTCCGTTCACATAAGCAGCACATCTCTGGTTTGTGATGTTCACTGCATTCACAGCTTTACAGCACTTCTGCTATAAAGCACAATTGATGCATCGCAGAAGGAAATATTCCTCTTCAAAGGCAGGTCTGCCTTTATTTTTTCCTTAACGTTGCTTTCTGACCTCCTGATAATTGTCTGCTGCGTTTCATGTTCCACATTAGAAACTGGAGGGCTGAAGTGACTGGCAATAATCCGACTTAACTCTGGCGATGTAATGCATCTCCAGAGATAATGGAAGCGAGATGCTTAAATTCATCATTCTCCAGATGCGCTTCACGTCTCTGTTCCACTTGTAGATCAGCTATACTAGACGATTTCGTACGTCTGCCTTAACGAAGTTACCGAGGAAGCCGGCGTTTGCAATTGCGTCACATAAGGAGGTCCTAAAGTGAGAGAACCTGGTACCCTACTACTAACCAGGACAACAAAATCTGCGTATTTTCTGTCAGTAAGATATTCATATCCACCGGAAATGTTGAGCTGTTCTTTCCCTCTAAAATAAGACCTTCTTCAATGCCAAAGCCAGCACTGTTCCGGAGAAGAAAGTCGAGAACACTGTTTCTAGTGTCTTAGGGCATTCTTGTCCTATATCGTCTTTCCCTGGGCGTTTGCCATTTTGGATGTTTCTGATTGCTCACTCAACTCTGTCCCCGGTGACTTCGGGAACGACTTCTGGAACAATATGTGAAAACTTCTGATTTGCTTCTACTTTTGAACAGTACAGGTTATTGTGGAATTTTGTGCAGATCACGTTCATCCGATTGCGATTGGTAATTCTTATTGTTCCTTCGTCATTCAGCGCATTCAGAATCAGTCGTTTTAGGCCAATATCTTATTCCGCCGTTTGCAAGCCTCTATTCTGCTCGGCAACCTCTTTCCATAGAATTCTCCTGTCACTTTCGTAATCTTCCCTTAATTTCTCCTATATGTCTTTGCACAGTGCAGTGTAAACCCTGTGCATTCTCATTTTCGTTCTTCAGCTTTGATCGTTCAGCCATTAATTGTCTTGTTTAAGGGCTGATGTGTCGTTTTCTCGTTGACTTGCTCTCTAGCTTAATGTTCTATCAGCATTCTTGATAGCATTGAGCAAATGATCATGATTAGCATAAATTCTGTAATGAATAATTATTTGAAAGTTGAATAATGGTAACTTCTTCGTGAAAGCATCCGGATTGAAATAGAGTGTAGCTTTGGCTTTTGATCCTCTTCTTGTGTGCGACATCGATAGTGACTATGCAATTTTAAATTCTGTGTTCTCGCTCTGTACTGATGAAGTTCTCGCTTATGACAGATACATCTGATAGCATTCGCTTTTTGTCAGTCAGCACAAAGTCTATATGATTCACCGATTTTCTATCTGATCTTCGCCATATCCGCTGTTGCTTCTCGGCTTTCTGGCAAAAGGTGTTCTTTACGTTGAAAAGGTTGCTTTCAGCATGAAATTTGCGACGCGACCTTCAATTTCATTTCTTTCGACCTTTTCATGTTTTCTTATAAATACCTCTGTATCATTCACCCCGTTCCTGATCACTACGTTCCAATTTCTTTACGCAGTCTGATTCGTTGTCTTCTTCTTCACTGTGTCTTCCAATTCTACAGTTGCTCGATTTCTTCATCTTCAGCTTGTTGAGTTGAGCTGTAAGCTTCGGCAGTTTTATTGTTCTTCCTTTGTCCATCCACAGAAGAAGAACTCTTTGCAGGATGATATAATATCACAGTCTCGTGCAAAGAGTACAGCTTTCCTTTTCATTATTAACTCAATGCTACCAATTCGAGCTCGCTTGTAGAGGCCTTCCCGAAGAACACTTTTTCATTGCGCATTGCCTTCC